GTGGGGGATCTAAATACCCCACTATCACAAATAGACTGATCATCTAGGCAAAAAATCAACAAAGAAATACTAGAACTGAACCAAACTTTTGAACCCATGGACTTATTAGATGTCTATGGAGTGTTCCACCCCACAAAATCAGAATATACATTCTTTTCAGCTGCACATGGGTCATTATCCAAGATAGATCACATACTAGTTCTCAGAACAGGTTTGAATAAATGCAAAAGAATTGAAGTTATTCCCTGTATATTATCAGATCACAGTGCAATAAAGCTGGACATCAATAGCATAAGAAACCATAGGAACTTCACAAACATATGGAAATTGAACAACACTCTCCTGAACAATCAATGGATCACAAAGGAAATTAAAGAAGAAATCAGACAGTTTTTACAAATAAATGAAAATGCCAATACAACATACAGGAATCTATGGGACACAATGAAAGCAGTTCTACATGGAAAATTCATAGCATTGAATGCCCACATTAGGAAAACAGAGCACAAGCTCAAATAAACAACCTAATGATGAATCTTAGACTCCTAGGAAAACAAGAGCAAGAAAAACCCAAAGCTCAAACAAGAAAGGAAATTATAAAGATTAGAGCAGAAATCAATGCAATCGAAATTAAGAAAATGATACAAAACAAAGAGTTGGTTTTTTGAAAGAATAAATAAAATTCATAAACCCTTAGCAAACCTTATCAAAAAAAAGGAAAGAAAAGGCTCAGATCCATGCAATCAGGAATGAAAAAGGCAAAGTCACAACAGATCCCACAGAAATCCAGAGGATCATTAATACCTACTTTGAGAACCTGTACTCTAATAAAATGGAAAACACAGAAGAAATGGACAGATTTCTAGATACTTATGAATTACCAAAGTTGAACAAAGAAGATAAAAAAACATTTTAAACACCCCAGTTAACAATCAGTGAAATTGAAAATGTAATTAAAAACTTAAGAAAAAAGAAAAGCCCAGGTCCTGTTGGATTCACTGCTGAATTTTACAAGACATTTAGAGAAGAACTACTGCCATTACTCTTCAGACTTTTCAATGAAATTGAAAGGGAGGCAATACTTCCAAATTCATTCCTGGAAGCAAGTATCACTTTGATTCCCAAACCAGGGAAAGATGCAACTAAAAAAGTGAACTACAGGCCAATCTCCTTAATGAATATAGATGCAAAAATCCTTAATGAGATAACAGCAAACAGAATACATAGGATCATCAAGAAGAGCATACATCCTGACCAAGTTGGATTTATTCCAGAGATGCAAGGATGGTTCAACATACGTAAATCAATAAATGTAATACATTATATTAACAACATCAAGGACAAAAACCATATGATCCTCTTGATAGATGCAGAAAAAGCATTTGACAAAATTCAACACCCATTCATGATAAAAACTCTGCAAAAAATTGGAATAGATGGTCTATATCTCAATTTAGTAAAGGCTATCTATGAAAAACCAACAGCCAACATCATATTAAATGGCCAAAAACTGAAAACTTTCACGTTAAAATCAGGAACAAGACAAGGATACCCACTATCACCACTCCTCTTTGATATAGTTCTGGAAACATTAGCCATAGCAATTAGACAAGAGAAAGAAATTAAAGCAATAAAGATAGGAAAGGAAGAAGTTAAACTGTCATTATTTGCTGATGATACGATACTCTACATTGAAGACCCAAAAAACTCCACCAAAAGACTTCTTGACTTAATTGACACTTTTAGCAGAGTAGCTGGATACAAGGTCAACACCCAAAAATCAATAGTCTTCCTGTACACAAATAACAGTCTCACTGAGCGAGAAATTAGGGAAACAATTCCTTTCACAATAGCACCCAAAAAAATGAAGTATCTGGGAATCAATCTAACAAAATAAGCAAAAGACCTCTACACTGAAAACTACAGCACTCTGAAAAAAAAAAGAGATCGAAGAGGATATAAGAAAATGGAAAGATATCCCCTGCTCTTGGGTAGGAAGAATCAACATAGTAAAAATGGCCATACTACCAAAACTGCTATACAGATTCAATGCAATGCCAATTGAAATTCCAACACTATACTTCACAGAACTAGAAAGAAGAATCCAAAAATTCATTTGGAACTAGAAGAGACCTAGAATAGCAAAAGCCATCCTAGGCAACAGACACATGGCAGCAGGTATAACAATTCCCAATTTGAAACTATAGTACAAAGCCACTGTGATAAAAACAGCATGGTACTGTCAAAGAAACAGACCTGAGGATCAGTGGAACAGACAGAAAGACACAAAAACAACTCCAGATGTACTCAGCTACCTCATCTTTGACAAAGGAGCTGACTATCCCCATTAGAGGAAAGATAGTATCTTTAATAAATGGTATTGAAAAAACTGGATCTCAACCTGCCAAAGATTAAAACTAGACCCTTATCTTTCATCATCCACTAAATTAAAATCAAAGTGGATTAAAGTTCTAAATATTAAAACAGAAACATTAAACTTGCTGGAAGATAAATTAGGCAGAACTCTGGGAAGACACTGGCATAGGAAAAGACTTTATGAAAAATTCCTCAGTAGCACAGGAACTAGCAGAAAGAATCAACAACTGGGGTCTTATCTTATTAAAAAGCTTCTACACTGCAAAAGAAACCATCAACAGAACTAAAAGACAACCTACAATGTGGGAAAAAATTCTTACCAGCTGTTCCTCAGACAAAGGACTATTATTATCTAGAATATATAAAGAGTTCAAAACAATCAGCCCTCCAAATATAAAGACCCAATTCAAAAATGGGCATCTGAAATGAACAGACATTTCTCAGACAAAGAAGTAAAAGCAGCAAGTAAATATATGAAAAAATGTTCCACATCACTGGTCATTTGAGAGATGCAGATGAAAACAACACTGAGATTCCACCTCACCCCACAAAGAATGGCTGAGATTAACAAATCACACAATTAACAAATGTTGGCAGGGTTGTTCTCCATTGTTGGTGGGAGTGCAGACTGGTGCAACCACTATGGAAATCAATATGGAGATACCTCAAAGAGCTTGGATTAGCGGTTCCATTTGACCCAGCCATCCCTCTGCTGGGTATCTTTCCAAAATAATTAAAAGAATCATACCATCGTTATATATGTGCACCAATGTTTATAGCAGCACAGTTTGTAATAGCTAAAACTTGGAAACAGCCCATCTGCCCATCAATTGGAAACTGCATAAAGAAGATGTGGTTTTTCTATAAAACTGAATACTACTCAGCCATAAAGAATGAGAAAGTAGATTCATTGATAGGAAAATGGATACATATTGAGGATATACTCTTAAATGAAATAAATACGTCACACATGTATAAATACCGAATAATTTCTCTGGTGTGAAAAACTATAATAGTACACAAGACCCAAATGGGATAACTAATAGTGTGAAATAGGAAGAAAAGGGCTAAAGGTGTAGGGAAAATGGGAAGGGTAGGGGAAAGGGAATAAGGGAAAAGAAAAAAATATGAGAAAATGAAAAAATAAAGTGTTTGTAAATGGGAAGGGAGGAGGGGTGAAGGGAGGGCAGGGACAAGGGGAAAAAATGAGAACCAAGACCTGTCATGTGAAGGTACAGGATCCCAGTAATGAATGTAACTGTACTGTATACCTATATTGCACCAATAAACTCAATAAAAAATAGAAACAGCAAACATACATATTAAAAAATGTTCAACATCACTGGTCACTGTACTTCACTCCAGAAAAAATGTTTGCTATCAATAAATCAACCAATAATAAGTGCTGGTGGGGTTTTGAGGAAGAAGGAACCTTCTTCATTGTTGGTGAGAGTATAGGCTGGTGCAGCCACTACAGAAACTAGTATGGAGCTTCCTCAAAAAGTAGGATGAGAGGTCCCATTTGACCCAGCTACTCCCCTGCTATCTTCCCAAAAGAATTAAAAACATTGTACTACAGTGATATATGTACACCCATGTTTATATTGCAACAGTTTGTAATAGCTAAATCTGGGAAACAGCCCAAATGCCCATCAACTGGTGACTGGATAAAGAAAATTTAGTTTTTTTATACAATGGAGTACTACTCAGCCCTAAAGAGGGATAAACTAGGGACCTTTATAGCTAAATGGATGCACGTTGAGGCCATACTCTTAAGTGCAATAAACAGGACAAACATATATCAATAGTGAATAGTTTCTCTGGTGTGAGAAACTGAAAGTGCAAATGAGGACCAAAATGTATACTAGAGAATGTGAGATAAGAAGAAAAGGTCCAAAGGGGAAGAGGAAGAAGACAGGAGGATTAGGGGAAAGAAAAATATATGAGAAAAGAAGGAAAAAACAGAAACAAATTATTTTGTTTGTTTTTTATAAATAGAGAGGGGTGAAGAGGTGGAAAGGAGGGCAGGGGAATGGGGAAAATAGAAGAACCAAGATACATCACATAGAGGTACAAATTTCCAATGGTGAATATGATCATGATGTACACCTAAAATGGACACCATAAACTTAAAAAAATTAGAAACCATTTGCATAAACCTGCAACAAATGATTTTAATGAAAAAAGTTGTTAAGCATAATAGAAGGCCAATATTTAAATCTGCACTTGATCTTAGCCAAAAGGCCGAGAAGCGATTCAATATTTAAATCTGTGTGCCTAGTTTTCCAGATTTTCCATAACCCTTTGTATGACGGATGTCATTGCCAGTGTATCAGAAATGCTTCATCCCCCCCCTTTTTCAGCTTTAATTGAGTTTATTGGTACATTTTAGGGATACAGTACAGTTACATTCATTGTTGGGATCTTGTACCTCTACATGACAGGTCTTGGTTCTCATTTTTTCCCCTTGTCCCTGCCCTCCCTTCACCCCCTCCTCCCCTCCCAATCTACAAACACTTTATTTCCATGTTTTCATTCTCTCACAATTTTTTCTTTTCCCTTATTACCCTTCCCCTACCCATCCCAGCTTCCCTACACCTTTAGCTCCTTTCTTCCCATTTCTAAAAAATATGGAATGCTTCACGAATTTGCGTATCATTCTTGCGCAGGAGCCATGCTAATCTTCTCTGTATCATTCCAATTGTAGTATATGTGCTGCCGAAGCAAGCACTTCATTCCCCTTTTGAAGCACTATCTGTGCAGTTTCACACCTGCTCTGTTTTTCTGCATGAAGGACAATGTTTTATGTATTACTCCCTACATGTTACAGGCAGTTAGCTGAACATGCCTGTGAGCATAATTTTGAAATGCTTGAGCATAACTTTCTCATAGAACCCATATGTACTACATGATCACACAAAAGTAATTTTTCCACACAACAGCTTTTTGCTTTCTTTTCCCCCAAAATGTAAACGACCTCTATAAACATTACTATTTGTTTTCTCTATATCTGCAGGGGCCTAAGTAGTTAGCATGCTTTCTTGTGTGAGGAAAGGGGACAATTAAATATGGCAATTTTCTTACGCAGTCTCAGCTGGTTTTCAAACATCACAAAAGGTTTTTATTAATAAAATTAAAGACATATATAATTAAAAATCCCTTCTGGTTACTTTATATTTTATAAGATCTAACATAAAACTTACACCGTATACTGTATATGCAATGTTAAAGGGTAGGTTGCTAATCAGAATTCATAAATCTCTGTGAATATTGGAGGATATTAAGGTATGGCTAGTCAGTTTCATATTATACCTCTTCTATTCACTTCTATGCACAGTGGGCTTTGATTAGAATTTTGCTAAGCAAAATTTAGATCGCTAAACATGATTTTAAAATCCTGAAATAATGTAAACTCTTCTGCCATGCAACCTCTAACCTTATGTTGCATAGAAGTTTAACAAATAAAACGTTAGAGGCAGCAGGGCTTAGATGTTAACCAAGATGTTGCTAATTACTGCAAAACTAATCTGAATTGGTGTCCTACTAAATCATTATAACAGGCAGGAAGGGGTGAAAAATACAAAGGATTCACAACATTGAATATCAAACCCCAGAGCTTCCAAGCAATCAACATCCAGCTCTTCACTGGCTGACATATTTTAACAACAAATAAGGTACCTTTTTGACTTTGCTTTTTACTGACAATATAGATTTAATGACACTCAACTTTGGCATCTGGGGATAACAAAGGATTTATGCACAATGTTTTCTGTTCAGGGTAATAAGGAAGAACAGCTGTTATGGTGCAGATCGCAAATGTCTCCCAGAAGCTCCATGTGTTTTAGCAGTGGGACTCTCAGAAAGTGATTGGATCATAAGGCTCTAACTTCATCAGTGGATTAATCCATTGTTGAGATGATAATTTGATGGCATTGACTGGCAGGTAATGGAAATTTAGGAGCTGGGCCTAGGTGAAGGGAGTGGGCTACGCAGCGATGACCTAGGGACTATATCTTGTCCCTGGCTCCATCTTCTCCACTTCTTTCTCTCTCTCATGGCTGCTATGAGGTAAGCATCATTCGTCCACTATGCCTTTCCTCCAAGATCTTCTGCCTCACCTCAAGTTCAAAGCAACAGAAACATCCAGCCATGGACTAAAACTCTGAAACCATGCTCCAAAATAAAGCTTTCAGGCTGGGGATTTAGCCTAGTGGTGCCATGCCTGCCTCACAAGCACAAGGTCTTGAGTTCAATCACAGGTACTGCCAAAATATAAAAATAAAAATAAATAAATAGAGCAAGCAAGCAAACTTTCTTACTTTAAATTGATTTTCCAGGTATTTTGTTACAGTGACTACAAGCTAATTCATACACAATACCCCATACATCAGTGACAAAGACTCTAATGCTTACCACGCAACTGCTCTTCTTAACACTTTGGAAACTGCATGGAAGGTATTTTAGAAACTGAGGCAAAAGGCAGTTATGTGCCCAATGATACCAGCAATAAATGAATAAACTTAGATATTAATAAGAGTGCTTGATTTTTCAAATTCTCACAAAACTTTGTATGCTCAGATTTTATATGCCATGTAGTCTGAAACCTTAATTGTAAGAATTTCAAATGAATTCAGTCAGAGCCACAGCAACCTGCAGGGACAAAACAGAGCATGTTCTAGTCTCCCTGGTCCTGAAAAATCAATACATCTTAGCCAAGGTTTCTTGACAAATTTCCAAGGAAAGTTAAATGCCCTTTATGGGTCATGGTAGGGAGTCTAAATTCTATTTCTGTCTCTTTCATCAATCAAGGGCTCAGGGAACTGGGTGCAGATATGTGTGGGGTAGAACAGAAGCCTTGGTTAGGTGTAGGGCTGGGGTCATGTGCTATTCATAAGGTCTAAAGGACGGAGAGGGGGCAAAAAAGAGGTGGCATTTGAAGTAAGCCAGATCAGAAAGTTGAGATTCTGTAAAAAGAAGTCAGTCAAAGGGACAAACAAGGGAGAGATGATCTAGGTATCCTTTCAAAGAAGACTGAGAAGTGCAGGAAAAGATGTGGGAGGCAGAGAATGGTGGGAGGCAACACTTGGAGCCATTGTGGTGCTCATCTGTAATCCCAGCACTCAGGAGGCTGAGGCAGGAGGATTGCTGTGAGTTTGAGACCAGCCTGGGCTCCATAGCAAGTTCCAGGTCAGTCTCAACTACACAGTGAGACCCTGTCTCAAAAGACCAAAAAAAAAAGATGCTAGAGATAAAAGGCATAATAAGCCTTAGACATGATTTCTACTGTCACAGAGACAATTTTTGGTGGTGCTTCATGCAGTTTGGCCTTGTACTATACAATCATACCTGACACTAAGTATTCAGTACCCATTTGTGAGAGGGAATTAAAGGAACAATATATATTCTTTAGGAGGACAAACGCTATTTCCAATACAGGAGTATTTTCCATGGGCAGACAACTGAGGCTGAAGAGTTGCAAACAGCATATATTTCTAGGGAAATTTCTTCACCAAGCCCTCTTTTCGCACTAAATTCAAGACAGTAACTAATTTCTGCAGTGCTAAATATATGTATAAGCACCCAGAAAAGACAGGCTAGAAATTTTCTGTCACCAAAGCTTGCACTGAAGACAGAGCAACAATCATAATCTAGATTTGCAGCAGTAATTGTTCATGACTTCGGCTTTCAATCTTCATCTTTTGAATCAGTTAGCAACTAATTTAAAAGTGTGGGCTGAATTATCTTGTAAATTTTTTCCTGTTCATGGATCTTTAGAGTTGGGAATGCTTAAGTTGTTTTCCTAGCTCTTGCATGTTACATATGAAGAGTCTGAAGTCCACAGAGAACAGGAAGCTGGTTACATTGGGGTGCAGGGCAGCCCAGCTGTGCGCCCCTTCCGCTCAAAGACCTTCTACCTTCAAAATGAAGGTGACAAGATCATTAGTTCCTCGAATAGTCTGGTTCCACCTTACTATACATTGTTACCCAGGAGAGCAATTTAATTACTCCTTGTTGCCTCATACATATTCTATGTGGGAATGCTAAGGAGTGGAATTAGAGAATCCAGTTAGCAGGTAGTTTTAATAGTGAGTCAACAATGACTTGGTCATAGCTGGGGCAGTGGAGTTAGATTTGAGATCTGTTTAAAGAGAGAATCAAAAGAACTTTTGGATGGATCTCTTATGGTGGGTGAATGAAAGGAAGGAATCATAGATGATGCCCATGATTCTAACGCTGGGCAATCCAGGATGAGAAAGACAAGGCAGAGGCAGGAGACTCTTGGGGGCTGGCTGGTGAAAGAAACAGCTCTCATGCTTTTGTTTCAGAAATAGCAATCTATTTTACAGGAGGCATGGCACATGTGAGAGGAGAAACAACTCCTCTACTGTCTCTGGATTCCACAAGGAGAAAGTTCCCTTACCCTGCTCAGGCTTTGAATCTCCTCCTTGCTCTTCCCCAAGGAGGCAGGATGGGTTGGCTGATTAGGGGACAAAAGAGAATGCACCACCCAGCCCCTTCCCTCTCTTCCTCTTTAGGAGTCAGACTCCACACAAAATCAACCAACCAACCAACCAACCAACCAAAAACACCTGCCTTCTCTGTTCTGCAAGGCTGTAAGCTTCACACTACTCAGGTGAAGAGGACTCTAGGCATCCAGCCTTGTCTGTACTTGGGAAGATAGGTCTATTGAACTCTGAAGTAGAATGCTATAATGTCCTTGCAAATATTCGCCCAATATCTGCTTCATAAGTTACAAGCGTGTATTTTGATGTCCCACATGCATTTTTCTATGGTGTGAATGGGTTCATGCAAAAGTTCATGTCTTGGGAATTCACATGTTAATGGTATCTGGAGGTGGAGTTGCGGGGAGGAAAGTAGGGTTAGATGAGGTCATGAGGTGGGGCTCCTACAATGGCATTGTTGACTTCATAAGAACAGACCTGAGCTAGTACACTTGCTGTATCTCACCATAGGAGGGGCTCTAGTGTGTTATAAGGTACTCACCGTGCTCTTGGAATTCCCAACCCCACAGAACTTTGAGCTACATAAATTTCTATTTTTTATAAATTGTCCCATCTCTGACAATTTCTGATAGCAACAGAAATCGATTAAGATACATTCTTCTTTTGTCTCATTTCTCAACTGTGAACTTGGGTCCTTGTGCTTGCAAGGCAGGCCACCGAACCGCTGAGCTAAATCCCCGGCCCTCAACTTCCCATCTTTGATAAAATCAATTAAGAAACATTCCTTTTGTCTAGGTTTAGGGCAAGGAAAAGAGAAGTTTAAGAGTAGCAGATGTAGGAGGAGAAACAAAGAATCTGAATTCTGACACCATGGCTCTGTGGCCGCAGGAAAAGGACTGAACTTCTCCACACTTGTTTCCTAATCTATAAGAGAGAAGTTAACACCTACTCCATCTTTTTCTCTGAGTTACCGGGAAGATTATGTGAGATAATTCTGTACAAGTGCCAGGCACATGAGTAATATTCAGATATAGGAACCATCACTTTTATTCTAAATGTACTAAGGAATTCATAGATGGAATATCTACAAAGAAAACACTGAAAAAGACAAACTGGTATTTGTACTATAACAATAATTATTATGAGTATTATTTTGCTGTACATGTCTCCTTAAGTAAATAGTGATTTATCAAAGGGGGTCGTTCTGCAGGAAAAGGGGAGGGAGAGTAGTTTGATGCTCATTTATTCAAATTTTCCTATTTAAAAT